CCCTAGTCTCTTGTGTGCCAACCCACAAATGTTGTGGTTATGCTTGCTTTGACTCGGTTCAATGTTGAACTACTACGTTTGTGGGTTGACTGCGACCACACAAAAGGCCACACCATCTTGGTCTTCATATCTTCGATAATACTAGGTAAGTTCAACAAGGTCTCCCTGACGCTCCGACCAAGGTGCGAAAACAAGGTTGACCCAACACTGTACCTATTTAAAGTCTAGCAAAAAAGGCGAAGGGCTAAAGTAATGTAGACCGAAAGCGAAGCCAATTTAGATACGATTAAGGGGTGCTGGCATAGAACTTGGAGACATACTGTGAGGAAGGGGGCAGAAGAGAAATGCTAAGGTTGTTCCAAAAAACATTGGCAGACGGGATTTTCTACACTTATTAGATGAGTTATAACTCAGTGCTATAGGTTAATCAATTCATTAACACTTCCGAGGCAATTCAAGCGAAACGTCAGGGAATGTACTCACTAAACGGTCCGATGATGAAAAGAGAAAAGGAAACAATGAATGAAGACGGAGTAAAGGATAACATCGTGGAAATCTCTAGGAAAACACAAGTAAATGTGAAAAATGAGGTCAAACCAACTCTGTACGAAGAGGAGACTTAGAGCAAACCAAAAGCCACACTATCTTGGATTCCATATTTCAGAGGAAAGTGATACATCTGATTCTTTCATTAATCTAAACCTTTTACGTCTTCCATGAAGCGCATACAAAATTCCGTTATTCAAATATCCCACAAGCCAGCCAATTAAGCATCCGTTAAGTATAAATCATAAATATCGATTACCCACAAATATGCCGAATTTCGGGCAAGTTATAGAAACGAAAAAAAAGCCCATTCTTGAAATAGACATACTTCTTTTTTAGTTTATAAATCGGTTTTTGAAGCTACCAGTAGCTCAGCAAAAAGAGCTGTATTCACCCTATTTAGTTTAAGGTGGTAAAGGACTGAAAGTTGAATTTTCCTACAATGATATAAGTAGACTTTAAGTTGCAGCTGAATTTCATATAACCTTGAATTTCCACAAGGTATTCTCACCCGGACTAGAGTTGACTGCAGTTTCGACCTCGGCCAGGCCTTATTACCACCATCTAGTGGGAATCAAATCAGGGTTGCGGTAGAGCAACGAGTAGCTTCGACACGTTAACAACTACGCTAGAATACTAAGAATGCCCTTTGGAAAGAGGGCAGAAGTGAATTTCAAGGAAGTCTAGGCCTTCCACATATCGTATTTATATGGAGTGTTGACAAGGCAAAGTTGTATTTGCTATAGAAATCGACTACATTACTTACTTTCAGTTTATAAGTAGGTTTTTGAGAACAACAGCAAATACAAGGGATAGTTGTGACAATTTGTTGTAGTGGCTATTGCGTCTAAACAAATCTCTGTACTAACCAGATTCGAGTCCCGATGAAGTTGTTGATGAAACCTAGATGAGATAGAAACCGCAATTAACTTCGGTCTGGATGAGAATATCTTTTGGGAAGCAGGACTATGTGAATTCCACCGCAACGTGACCTAAATGTATTGTATAATGAGAATTGGAGGTGGCTGACTCAAGACCCTAAATGTGAGTTCTCTTCCATCATACAAATTGATTAGAGCATATTGCATTCCTAAAAAAGGGGTTTGATTAAAAATCATGACTTCTTTACCATATTCTTTATATAATGGACACAATAATTAAATTATTTAAGGAATCGCTCCATTCATAAAAAATAAGCCTACTAAATAAATAGAAATTGAGTATTTATTCATCTCTTTACCTAGAAACAGGATTATATTAATAAAGCCAAGATAAATTTGGTAAATGGCCTTGTCTTACAATGTTACAATAATCAGACCCTCAAAAGCAACAATCCAAACATTTTTCGTTTGTAAGTGGGATTTCCACCTCTCATAGAGTCTAAACATTTATCTCAAAAACTCTTAAGAAAATTACAATAATGAAATACAAAAGTTGAACTTTTAATACTTTTGATGAAAGATAATATAATAGTCTTAGTCCTTAAAGAAAAACTTCGAAAGTTTAGTATGAGGTCATATTCATCTCAAAAGTGGTGTTTAAAGCACTTTATTTTATAATTCCTTTAAAAAAATAATTTAGAACATATCATTACTGGTTAACTTTCTGGGAACCCTGATTAGTTTCTTGACTCATTACCAGGATATTTCTATAAAAAAAAGGAGTAATTCTTTGAATGTCAATTATTATCGAGGCTAATGACTATCAACTAGCCATGAGTTTCGTGGATTCCTTTCAATTGTATCTGGTAAGTTCCTTCTAAATATAAGCAAAGGTCATATTGAATAAAGAAAATAACTCAATGTATGAATTTCATGACTATAAGTACCAAAGGACTGAGAGGGACCATCGCTACTACAATAAGTAATAAGAATTTTTGGGAAAAATAAAAGTAGCAAACCTGATTCCCTTTATGTCGCCCTCTGTGAAGACATAGTCCTGTCTAGTTCCAAATGATCTGCAAGACCCCGTTGAGCCCTCACTGAGAATATTTGCCCCAAGTCCTGGAGTTGGGCTGCCGATCAGACGGGCAGGGAAGCTTGTCCCAAACTCAAAAGAATTCATCTCATTGCGAGCACTGTTAATGCCACTGCTAGGGAGGGAAGTCAAGCCTGAGAGAGCGGGGGTGCTTATTGTGTATGGGAAACAGGTTTCCTGGGCACAAAAATACCAGAGACGGAGGTTTTGCGGATCTGCATCAAGATTAAGCTGCAGATAAGCTGGCTCAAAGCGATCTTCTTCTGTGCTTGAGACGAGCACAGGGAAGCTAGACCTGATGACGGTATTGTCGTCATCGTCAACGAACTCTGTGGTTTCAGGGAGCCGATTATGAGACTCGATAGATTTAGTTGTATCGAGAACAGTGCATTGATGGTTGTTTAACAGAGAGGCGCCTGCCGGAGGATTGGAAAGGGACTCAAGATAAGAAATTGGAGAGGAAAAATGAGACTCGGTCTGCGCTTCACTGGGAGCATTCATGTTGGTCTTGGCAGCCTGCCACTCCGAATGAATTTGAAGAGAAGGAGCTATTAGTAAAGCGAAGCATTCGAAATTGAAAAGATGCGTGTGTAAAATATATAATTGAGTACCAGTGATATATTAAAATAAGGCTATTTTATATCAAAAATATCATTCAGATACTTTCCAAGAATAGGCGCAAATGTCAAAGTATCTGGGCTTCGATAAATTCCTTAAGATAGCCTTGTTGGAGAGACATAAATTTCGTGTGGAAGTGCATAGAGTTTAATTGGTTGATCCCGTCGGAGACGACGGTCGATTCCAGTTTTTACGTAGATGATTAAGTTTAATAGGACGTTCAAGTTGACACAGTCCGCGAGATATCATTCCTCGTTTAGAGTGAAGCCGGGCTAAGTTTTCGTCCATCATATGATGGATATTATCAGAGCTAGAACTCATTCTTCAAAGTCTCGAGTTGATGCTAGGTCAAGAAGTGTATCCAGCTCGATCCTACATATTATACATATTTATAACTTAAATAAGGATAATATATACGTGCAGATATAAGGTAAGACCTAGCAGGCAATTCGCTAAAGCTTAGTGGAACACAAAAATGCTTGTATAGGAAGCTGGGTCAAACGGCCAAAAGTAATCGAACACACAGGCCAGAAACTGAACACAAAAGACAATGGTATAAAAAGAATAGGTTTTCTACCTATTAAAATAAATAAAAGCGGCCATTGAGATTAATAGATTATTTAATACGTTGCAAATGAGGTGTGCTGGAAGAAAGTTGAATAAGAACTATTAATCGAAGGTATGAAGACCAAGGTGTGGCCTTTTGTGTGGTTGTAGTATCCTTTCGTTTTATAGAATTTGTTCGACCTTGTTTTCGCAACATGGTCATATTTGTAGGAAGACTTAGAGGAACGCACATAATCCAGAGTCCATTGTCTGCATGATCATTCCCAAAATTAAACCGTAGACGTGGTACATTCCCGAACGTTTTGCGATAAACTCCCAAGATATCAAGTTTGTCGATCTTCCGTGTTGTGTTGGCAGGCAGGTGAAAAATTTTTTCTTCTGCTTTGTTACCAACTTGATATTCCATTTTCCTAATAAAGGTCGCAATTGTTGAAAAATGGAATATTAAGGTGATAACAAAGAAGAAAACACTTTTCACCTCTGCCAACACAACACGATAAGACGGACAAACTTGATTGCTCGGAAGTTTATCGCATCGAATGCGGCAACTGTGAGCAGAAGTATATCGGTGAAACAGAAAGAAAAATCGGCTACGAATCAAGGGACATCAAAGACTCTGAAGGAACATGGATATATAAAGATCAGAAATAGCGGAACACATTGCACCGACGGGGCATGATATCGATTAGGAATCAGCCGACAGGTTGGCTGGATATGGTGAAAATATGAGAAAACGCAAGATCCGAGAGGCCATTGATATACTGACTAAGATAAATCTAATAAACAAGAGACTTGAAGAAGGTAGGATCAGCGAAAACTTTGTATATTGCCTAAACAAACTAAAAGAAGACCAGGCAACAGGAAGATCAGCAAAAAGAAGACGACAGTAACAAGTTGATATCCTGAATTTTAGGAAAAGAGATCGCAAGGGGATGAGAAAGGAAGAATCAGAAGCAGAGGATACGTCTTCAGTGAGCCTTATCAAAACAAGTAGAACCACGACATTTGTGAGTTGGCACAAAAGAGACTAGGACGTAGGAAGTGATAGTCATGGTATTACAGATAGAAACAGTAAATAAGCGGTGGAGACTAAAACTATCAGCTAACAATAGAAGTGTTTGATCATAAACGTGATCCTTGAATCACGACTATTGTTAGCCAACCAGCTTTAGCTTTAACTGTTTCTATCCTCTTTCAATCTATGATACCAAGTCTATGACTTCCTATGGCATAGTCTCTTGTATGC